GAAATTGGCATTTTCCCAATACACTCTTCCTCTAATATATTTTAAATTAACTACCAGAGTACTAAACGAGATGAATTAGGATTATTATAAAGAATATTATTACTTTTTATATGAAATCATTGAATTAACATTCGCCGTAAATGTCACAATGCAAATTACTTAAGAAAGCTGAAAACTGAGCAATTTTACTTTAACAAAACGCAAAATAAGTTTACAAAAAATAAATTGTCATATTCCAATTTCATTAACTTATTCATTCGCATTAAATTTTAAAATAAATCTCCAAAACTTTTGAAATACATAAAAATATATTATGAAAAAAATTTAGATAACAATATCACATAGTATTAAAACAAATCTATACATTGCAATAATGTACTGTACGTAAATTTGTTGTGATTCATACGTAACGTGACCAGACGTCCCGTTTGAAACGGAACTGACTCTTTTTATAATTATGAGTCCCGGTGTCCCCGGAATGAACTCTGGGAAGCAAAATTGTCCCGTTTTCGGAAAACACACGAAAATTTGAGGAGTCGAGCCGGACGCGAGCAGTGTGCGAGAACTAGACCAGTCGACGCGAAGATAGGCGAGATTGGCCGAGACAGCATGACCCGCGCTTTGTTGATTATTTGTTTGACAGATTTTTCGTCCGCCCATTTCTCGCTATTTGTTTTGTTGATGTTTACGCTCGTGTAGTAAATAACTTAACCTTCTTTTATTTTGGAATCATAAGTTAAAGAAGTTCAGAATAAGTTTGAAGAACCCACATCCGAATTGTGGCTTTATTTTTTACACGCTCAGTCAGAAAGTTTTCATCAAGCTGTATTGAAACTTGGTCAGACTGTATCGGCAACTGAAGCTGCAAAACAAATCAATCAACTAAAAGACAATTTGACTCAGAAACACATCAATCAGTTTCTTCCATTTACGGTCCGTCAATTGATAGTGAAATCAAAAAATAATGGTACTGATATAGATGAAGAGTTTGTTAAAAGGATGGCTACAGAATTTTATCAAACAACCCGTAAATATCTAGAGCCGTCCTACTTCGTTTCTTACCAAAGAAATGGAGATATTTTATTGGGCAGATTTAAAAAAGGTCCCCGCATGGGGGAAGACGTTCAAAAAGCTCTGGATGTATTAATTAAAAAGGAATATATTGTCTATAATAAAGATACAGAAGTTATTGACGAACTTTCATTAATTTCTAACTACATTACATCGCAAAAAGTAACCGAATGAAATAATCTAAATGTTTCCACGGAAACTCGTTGGGTGGAAGTATTAAAACACTTTAACGCCAACAATGTACAGCATGAAAACTTTTATATTCTATTGAATATATTTTATGTTTGCCTGCAACAAATACTCCAGTAAGAAGAATATTTTATATGATGAACAAATTGTGGACATCTGAGAAAACCTAGTTACAAATTTTAGCTCTAAAGGCAATGTTGATAATTCAGGTGAATATAAAAAAAATGTCAAAAGTTTAATTCTTACTCAAAATCTTCATCAGTTATATTAAAGCAAATTTGTTCCTCTGGTAAATATAAATATAACTAAAAAATTTTGGTATATTTTTTAATTCGTAACATTTAAGCTAACGAACTTTTTCTGAATAAGTAACTTAAAAAGTGTTTTTTTCATTGTGTACCTATTAATTGACCAAAATAACCAATGTCCCGTTTTGAGTCAAAGAATAAATGGTAACGTTATTCATACGATATATTTGAAAAGAAAAATGAATTTTTATAGGTAACCGAATAAGTTAAGGAATCTGTGAAAGTGAGAAATTTAATTTTAAAAAGTCTTGATCCCCCATGTTATTAATTAATTTTAAAACCATCCTAGTGAACATAGATATGTTACACTCATAACAAATAAATTTATTGAAATATCTTTCAGCGGAATTATTTTATATTTTCTTATAAATCGTTTGATATATATTTATAACTATTTAACTATTATATTAGGCTTATATAAGTGTGTATAAATCGTTTGAATGCTTAACTGATAATTGTTTTTATAACCGACTAAAAAAAATAGAATTTGTTAAAAAGAATATTTTTTTTTTGTTCATGATTTTTATTAGTAAGAAAAGTTCATGAAATCTTTTTTGAAATTTAGCTTATTTCCGTTCCCATTGGCTTAGCTAGTAATATTTTTAAACTGGCAACACATTGGTATAACTAGTAGCAAAATAACTAATCTCTAATTTTTATCACCGTAGTTTATTCTTAGATCGCTTTCATCTTTATTGGCGTAAGCGAAAAGAGAGTGATTTCTGTAGTGGGGATCATTATTTGAGCTATAACAAGAGAACCCCAATTACATTTTCAAGGATCTCATACTATTTCTTCCATTAACTCCTCTTGAGCACCAAATAAGAATTGGCAACATCACAAATTCTATTACTAAACCAATCTCTATATGTCTGATCTGTGAGAGATGCTACAGTTGGTTTCTAGTTTTTAGTCTCTTCCAACTCAACAAAGGAAATATATCGCGAAAAAGTTTGAAAAGGTATGAAGTTTGATTTAATTTTAACTAAAAATAGAGTTGACCTTCGAGTTAAATAATTATTTTTTTAATTTCGAATTATATTGGTGATTGATTGCTATGTAAAATTATAAGTAATAAAACTTATTCGAGTAATGAATATAATTAGCATATTTTTTCTCTTTATTATACTTTAAATCAGAGGTTTCCAAACTTTTTTGTCTCGTAGACCCCTTGCCATGTTTTTCGGTTTGGGGTAGACCCCTGCTTAATTAATATTGAATTTTCGCAAATTTATCAACTTAAATTCTTTTTAACTGCCGTTACTACTACTCCTACTTTGAAAGAATTACATTTTTAACTGTAATGAAAAAAAGTGTTTAAAATTTAAAAAACATATGCTAATTAGTTAAATTAAAATTAATTAATTAATAAAACTGTTAAATAAACTAACTAAACAGCAAACAAATTATATTAATGGGAGGGATGAATCTCTAGCACTACAATATCAAAACTCCTTTACTCTAGAAAAGCAATGAAAAACTTACAATATTCCATAAGCCGGGACAAATAACAGGTTTTACTTTTTAAAGCCAAAATGGCTGGCATCCATTTCTAAACTTTAAATCTTCGTTAGTGCTTAATAATTCCTATTGTAATTTGACACTTTTTTCAATGTGACCATATGAATTCATTCCCTCATATGGTATTGCCATAGTCGAAGCATTCTCAAACCTGGTTTCCAAATCTGAATAAAAGGCATTTAAATTTTGAACGTAGGTTAAAACGTTCTGATAAATTGTATGTGACAAATTTAGAAAATTCGGGACCTCCAGTCTTTTACTTCTTTAGCTTAAATCAGGAAAGAAAAGCTGAAATGGTTCCTGTTTTCATAAAGTTTATGCTGTCACCTTGTAAATGAAAATTAACCTCATTATAAATTTAGTAAATAAATCTGTTAAATAGGTAAAATTTGGTTTACACTTGATTATAAATTTTCTTTTGAAATAAAATTCACGATCTAGTTTAATGAGAGCCAGTACCACACAGACCCCACTTACGCCTCATGGACCCCAAAATTAACTTTTGGCTGACGTAGACCCCTTGGTGGTCGTCAAAGACCCCTAGGGGTCTATATAGACCTCTTTGGGAATCACTGCTTTAAATAATTCTTAAAGGTAACGCAGTGTTTGGAGAAGGGGAAAAAGAGAAGTGGCACTCTTTTCCGGTAGTACAGAACCCGCGACCTTCGGATCCGAAGCCTAGTAACTTAACCACTATACCAAAATGATCACTTTAGTCCGGAGGTTGATACTTGCTTATATACATGATACCGCTACACACTCCTCCACAGTGAATTATCATGACAGATCCGAAGGTTACCTCTTCCTGAATTCAGCCAGCGTCACCAATGAAGTGGCACAGTAGGACAGAATCCACGACCTTCGGTTCCGAAGCCTTGTAACTTAACCATTATACCAAAATGATCACTTTAGTCTGTAGGTTGATACTGGCTTATATACATGATACCGCTACACACTCCTCCCAGTGAGTCCGTAGATAGGCGAACGAACGATATAGTTGTTATGACGAGCGTGTTACGTGAGCGTTGTTGCTGGCAATAGGAGGAGTTGTGTCAAGTGAGTCTAAGAGTTTGTTATATTGCGCCAAGCGAGTCTGGCGAGTTAGCTGCATCAAGTAAGTCTGATGGGTTTTTGGTTGCTCCTTTTGCGGGTAGATGGCGCCATGACAGATCAGAAGGTTGCCTCTTCCTGAATTCAGCCAGGGTCGCCAATGAAGTGGCACTCTTTTCCGGTAGGACAGAATCCGCAACCTTCGGTTCCGAAGCCTTGTAACTTAACCACTATACCAAAATGATCACTTTAGTCTGGAGGTTGTTACTGGTCTATATATATGATACCGCTAAAAAGGGAAACATTTTATCAATGTGAAAATTTAAATTAAGAGTTTTCAGAATAATTATTTTGAGTTATGTCAATCTGAAAAAAAGTTAAAGAATGCGTTAAACCAGTAAATCGGGGTAAAATATAACATTTTATTATTTGAATAATTAGTAACATATTTGTTCAAAAATAATTTCCATCTCATGGGCTCGAACTCAAGGCAGCCATGAACCCATGACTCCTAGGGTACCGCAGCTACGAAACGCTTCTGTAGAACAATATTAAAAATTCAATTATAATTCATACATAGATTTCCAAGGAAACATCCTCTTTCAATTCCTACACAATTAGTTCCCACTCTTCTTATATATATATACATATATCTTGTTCAAATTTTCAATCGTTAATGAAATACTTTTTATTCATCGAATCAAGTTCAAATACATTTTTTTAAACTTAAACTGGATAAAATTTGATATTAATACGATTTTTTAAAATATTATTTCATTAATTCTATTATTTAATTAATGAATAAATAGTAACAAAAATAATAGTCCAAAACCATATGTAAAAGGGAAAATCGCTCGTTGTGACCCTGTAGCGCAATGGATAGCGCGTTGGACTTCTCATCTAAAGGTCGTGGGTTCAAATCCCACCTGGGATGGCCTAATTTCTAAAAATGTGATTGCCTTTTACTATACTATTTTTTATTGGATAAATTAAATTTAATGAATGAATAAATAGTAACACAAACACACACACACAAATAAATAGTCTAACACCATATATAAGAAGGAAAATCGCTTTCTCTATTTTGCCACATAATAGCTCTTCTGACATATGTATATACATATTTACATTAATTATAATTATTTAATAAAAAGTAACTAAAATAACATTTTCTTTTTGTTCACCTAAGTAGGAATTGACTTAAGAATTTTTTTTATATTACTGTTAATAATAAATTTTGGCCAAATATATTTTTTTAATAATAAATCGCATAAATATTGTATAAACTTTTTCGTGTTGCAGCAATTGATGAAAAGAAGAAAGTTTTGTTGCTGTTACGTTGTAGTTATTTATCTCTACAAATAAACAATGCTATCAGATCAAAGCCTACGAAGTTCATTTCGACAAATGGGAGAGGGGGGAGGCTAAATTACGTATGTCATTTAGCTACAGCTTTTGCGCACCATGCAGGTGACAGCATGATTTGGTTTCTCTCCGCCCCTACTTTAAGTGAGTCTCGAGGTGTCTGAACCCCTCTTACCTTACCATCAACATCTCGAAAGGCTCTTTGGCTCACGGAATATTTGAAGTGTCCCCCAAGCCGTACAGTCACTACAGATTTACAAACATAAATACCTTTACCGAGATTCGAACTTGGGTCCTCCTCGACACAATGATTCATAAATCTGAAGGTTAAAACACTTCTACTATTATACAGAATATACACAAAAAATTTCAGTTATTTATTTCCAAAACTTTTTGAGCAATCGTTGTCCCCGTTTGAGCATTTTCAAAACAAGATATCAATCATTAGCATGGCCAAGTAATTTTAGCGCGTTTTTCTCATGTTGTATTTTACAATAGGAAAATTCGGGAAAACTATGGGAAAATTTAAACATGATTCGGCTCATCTAGGGCACAAATGCGACCAAATGCCGAAAACCCGAGGTCAATTGGTTGCTTATTGGCTGAGAAAAAGGTACGACAAAATATGGAACGAAGACGAAAATGAAATTTGCGTCCTAATAGCGCTTTTGTTCCACTACGTGAAAAACGCGCTAAAAACACATTTTCAGTAAAACACGTTTTAAAGTATGACATATATCTTGCTTAAAGAGTAATGGCATCTGCTTTTACTAAAGAACGTGAAGTTTTTGTTCTAGGGAATGGAAAATTAAATACTTGCTATTTTTATAAAACTAATAAGTTGGCCTATAAAATAAAATCATATAAATAAGTTGTCAATTTTTGACAAAATTCACAATTTTAGGGTAGTCGGATACCTTAAAAATAAATAAATAACGTAGTATATAAAACAACTTGATAGGCAAATATGTTGACTAATATGAAAAAATCATTTCTCCTTAGGAAACATGAAGTCTTTATCCGATCTTTTAGCGCAAGAAACTAAAACAAGTATCAGCCGACAACCTAAACAAATTTGTCGCCCATCCGAATATCATTTGTTTGCCTGTCAAACCACGGGGCTTTTAAAAAGTAATTGTAGATCGGAGCCGCCAAACCCTTGACGGAAATTTATTGAAGCTGCACTGTGGTTTCGTTAGAGCGCTTATTCCAAACTTACCCCGTGAACTGATGTGTCCTATTTCACTCCCTAATAGGTAATAGCCAGAATTTTTTGCCACCAAGTACTTAAGGCCCTTGCCACTCAAACACGTAATTAATGGTGCCTTAAAAATGTAAATAAATAGCTTTACAGGAGGGATATCTTCGGCGGAGGCCTTATTAATGGTATCGTATGACAGCTTTGATGAACACCGTTTGTTTCCGGTTCAAAGAATGAGTTTGCTCTTTGTCGGAAGTGGTCATTAATTATGGTAATTTACTAATGAAGAAGCGACGATACGGATCAGAATTTTTGAAAAAGATCTTTCCTTAATATCGTTTTATGGGATCATACTTGCAAATTATTTCGGAAATGATATGAATGAATTTAAAGTTTTGAAGAATGTTAGAATTTTTGTTATTGAAACTGATGGTATATTAATCTTGATTATATATTTTAGTTGATTAAAAATATGTGAGAAGTTCAGCGATTAGAAAGTATATGAACATAAAGGAAAAATCGGTAAATATATAGTCTTGAACTGTGTGTGTGTGTGTGGAAGAGTTTTCATTGAACTGATTTATATAACAGAGAGAGAGGTTATTTGTAAAAATAAAATTCCAAATTCCAACCAAATGTTATCAAAACAATACTTCAGTTTTTGTGCACAAGCGCTCTTCTAAGCAAATTTTTTTTATCAACGAATATATCTCTTTTTTCAATAAAAACGGAATTCATTCTAAAAATTTCGTAACTAATAAATGCGTAACGTTTTTGGATGAAATTTTAGTACTTAAAGTATTATACCTTCGACCAATTTTGCCAATTGGTGAGCGAATATTAACGTCGCACTATTCAGCTGCATGGGGGCTTTTGGTGGCTGACCTCGTAATTTTGAACCATGGTCAAGTGACTAGGACGTCACCTAAGCTGGCGCTCCCTTTCCTAGCTCTCACACCACACCAACGGGAGGACATTTGAGCCTCGACATATTTAAAGTGCATCGGCCACTTCTACACGACAGGTCTTCAATGGTACTAGGCTGGAACTCATGACACGCCAGCCTCGAGACCATTACCTTGACGACTAGGCTACCATGGCCTCTCAATTTCTCCAAAACAAAAGGCATCGTTAGTTCAAAAAAAAATTTGGCCAAATAATTTCATCGTAAGAAATTGCATTTGAACGAGTGAAGAAATGGTTACCACTATTGGCTCTATATCGCGGCATTTGGCGACATCTTTTGATTTGACGAAATTGGTCGACGGTGTAATGTGCAAGTGCCGAAATTTTTAAACAACAATATTGAATTCTAAGGCAATTTAAAATACGTTACTAATAATATTTGAAAACAAAAATCATAGCAATTTTTGTATATTTATTTATTAATTAGTCTTTTCCACTTGAATATTTCAGAGTTACTGCTTAATTAAACAGTAGCATTCAATGAGCCACAGAGCTACAATTTCATTTCATAAAAATAAATCAATATACTGAAACGAAAAATTATTCATAACATCCTAATCATTGAAAGAAAGGACATTGCCATTCTTAGGTATAGGAAAAGTTTCATAATTTGAAAAGTACCTTGTAAAGAAAAATTATAAAAGAACTCTAAAAAATATATATTTATTATTCTTAATATAAAAAATACATATTTGTCCTTTCTAAACAAACAAAATCGGAGCAAATTCGGATACTTACGTATTATACCGTCGGTCAATTTGTCAAAAGAAAAGACATCGCAAATGCCACGATATGCAGCCAATAGTGGAAAGCTGTACCCACGCATGTAAAAACACAATAATCTTGTTTGCGTATACACACGAGTGTTTCGTATTATAAAATACACTACCTACCAATAAGTATTAGGACACCCATACTAATTAGGATATCTGCGGTTCTGATCTACGTCACGTCTTCTATATTTAATTGTGTTGAAAACAGCATTGACATTAGTCGCACGCAAGATGCCACGAAATTCAAAGCTGTCTGACATCTAGAAGGGCGCAATTGTCGGATATCATTAAAATGGCTGATTTTTAGGAGACCTATCTAGTGAGTTAAACATTGTAAAATCGACGGTAGCTTTTGTGATTAAGAAGTGGAAGGTGAGTGAAGATTGTTGGAATTCGTTTCCCCACGGCAGATCCACTAAACTATGAGATAGCGACCCACAACAGCTGTCGAAGGAAATTTTTAAAAAACCACTTCAAATTGATGGCCACATACTCCAGGAGTTCCGACAAGCATTGGAGACTGTTGTTTCGATACATGCCATCCATTAGGAAGCACATTTGCTTGGTGTCCATGGTCGTGCTGCCACCAAAAGCCTTTCAACACAAAATTCACCCACGCTGCTCTGTTGAGATGGTGCAAGGCACTCAAGGTTCAATCTCTACCAGTTGGATGGAAGAGTCTGGCTTTAGACTATAGGTGGAGAAAAACTTTTGTCGGAATGCATTTTGCCTACAGTAAAGTTTGGTGGAGGTTGAATTATGGACTAGAGATATTTCTCGTGGTATGGACTGGGACCCCTGATCCCAATTCATGGTAAGCTTAACGCCGATTCCTACTGCACTTTTCTAGACAACAACGGGCTTCCTACGCTGTAGCAATTTTATGGGTTGGATCATTGTTATTTTTAGGATGACTATACCACTTGTCATGTCTATATGATGACAATAGGATGGATGGATTGGCTTTCATAGAATTTAGAGTTGAATCACATAGAAAACCTCTGAGATGACGGATGGCTGAATTAAGGAGTGTAGCAAATGCGGAAAATCAGTGAAATATATATTTCTATGATTTTAAGCTGGATTAAATCAAGATAAATGCTTTCAAAGTCTGCAATTAGCATTTGGTGATGAACATTCATGTCGTCCTACTGTATTCAGATAGTTTAAAGAATTTGGAAGTGTGGTCGCAATTCTCTTCAAGATGAAGAACACACAGGAAGACCGTGGTCGGCATTAATCCCGAATAAAGTGTCTACCATACGAAAAATGTTAATGGATGATAATCGCTGTACCTACCAAATGATACAGAAGGAACTTAACATTGGATCCGCAGCCATACACAAAATTATTCATGAAGAATTAAGTAGTTTGCCGTTGGGTTCCCATAATCGAACTGAGCACCAAAAAGAGCAGCGTGCAAGAATCAGTAAAGAAACACTTAAATTGCTAAATGATGGTGGTCATCGCATCATTTCTAAAATTGTAACGGGCAATGAAACCCGCGTACATACCATTTTTTGACGTTCCAACCCGTCAAGAAAGCAAAGTATGGGTCTTTGAAGATGATCCCACCTCAACAATGGTAAAAAGACAAGAAGCAATGAAAAAAGTAATGTATGCAGTTTTCTTC